ATTACACTGCTGCCAAAAGAGGACAATATGACAACAGCTTTCACAGTCATTCAAGGATGTGGAGAGTATCTTTTGCTCTTGTCCAAAAATGCTAATGGGTCACATTCCAGGGATACAGAATTCTCATCAAAGCCTCAAAATGCACTTCTAAAAGAATGCTCACTTTCAGAGCAAAGCTACTCACAGCTGTAGCTTAAAAAAAATCAGCTCAGCAAAATCTCAGAAGAAGGTGTTTTCATTGTGCTGAGCAGCAGGTGACGTCCAGAGGGGTCCTGACAGCAAAAACAAGTGAACCTCTATCGGGGCTGAAATTGACTAGAGGGCACACGCCTACATCTCTCTGCTTCGTATTGTTTGCATCACATCACACTGCGAGTTGTTCAGCTTCAAAGCTGTATGTAGAAAACAATGAGATTGTTTAATTCTATCGATTGAAGCCTGAATACAACAATAATTTTTCACCTTTCACCACCTCACTTTGACAAAACCCAGGGAATCTGGATATATCTTCAGCATAACCTCAGTGATATTAGTCAGGATCATTCAATGACTTTGCAATATTCAGCTGCTTCATGAAAGATTTACTTAGCCATCAGTCAGGTGAACAATAATTTGAAGATGTCCGGGCCAGGCTAGAACACAGAAGTAAACCATCTTATTATCCTGTTTTCATCCTGTGCTTTGTTTTTACCAGATAGAGTCATACGGATACTGGTGCATCTCCCAGGAAGTGGGAAACTCAAACTGCTCTGGAGGCCTACAAAGGTTATAACCAAAGGTGTGGAGGGATCATCTGTTTTGCTTGAAGGGTATTTGATGGAGAAAATTGCTATTGCTTACCGGTAAATGTGTCAGTGGAGCTGTAAAAACGGGTCCAGAAGAGAATCAGAAAAAGGCCCAGGAAACAAAGATCACTAAATCAGTGCTGGCCTTTGACGATCCGGTATCAGAAATGACCTTACAGGAGGAGCTGAAGGAGGCCATTGAACAGATTGCCTCTTTCCAATTAAAAGTGATTTTACATCATTATCGTGGCCTTCAAACACATGCAACCTCACTGTTTAGTAAATATTTTGTGTGATTCACCCGCCCTACAGCACTAAATGAAAACCAGAGTCACAGCTGTTTGTTATGATTGTGCCCTGGAATGTTTTAGTCACGGGTACAAAAATGGAACCTATATAAAGCTATAATTCTTATGAGTCAGACCTTTGCTATTATTACTGGTCTCTAAGGACTATCAACACTTCCCTTTTAGAGATCAGTATTCTGTTACTTTACCACATAACAACAGTACTTTCTATTCATTATTCATACTAAAAGTACTAGTGTTGACTAGGCCTTTGAGTTATTATGGTGTTTAAATCATCAGTAGTTTGAAATAATGACTAATGTAAACTAGGGCCCATTCTTCTAGTTTTCTTGTAACTGATAGATGGCACTGGTGACCTACAGCCCCCCTACTTGTGTCTATAATGCAACACTTTGGTGGAAACTGTGAAGTCAGACAAAGGTGTCAGGACTTTTCAGAGCTGACCGTGGTTCCTGCAGACACACTAGAGTCACAATCTAACATGTAGCCATGCTATTTGAATGTACTCTATATCTCAGCTGCATCAGAAGGTTTTGGGGCAGGTTTATTTGGGTTTCTGCTGAGAAACAATTACTTTCGCCCTATTGAATGTTATTCAAATACGGAGAAAATACAACACTGAGATTACTGATCTTAGTGGTCTCAGTTGTAGAGAAGTACTGCCTCCATAAGTTGCCATGTATATACACAGTACCAGACAAAAGCTTACACACATTTCCCCATTCAATTGTGAGGGGAATCCACGTTTATCTATACTTTGTAAAATGTACCTTCAGTAACTGAATCATGCATATGTGGTAAAACAAGTAAAGATAAAGCACTTAGTAACAAAAACACAAGAGGTTGTGTTAACAGGGTGTAAGATAGATGGAACATGGGGTCAGTAGCCTTGACGCATTCCTCCTCAGTGGAAAATAACCCTAGAGACAAACATACACACATAGAGGGCATGACCTGTGACCTTTGCCCTGCAGGGTGTTTTTCATTGTGGAGACACCTCAGCTGGTCAGGCTTTCATTGATGGGAAACAGAAATGTGTGACACATAGATTGTTTGCATGGGTGAATCTAGTTATGAGTTGTTTGTCTCTCGTACCTGCTGTTTTTATTATGATGATTACATTGGAGTCACAGAAGCAGGTCACAATGTTTTGTCAAGATTAAATTGCAGTAGTGCTACATTTATTAAGGCATGATTCTTAAAGACTTGCCACTATAGTACATCTCTCAAAGCAAGATGTTTTACTGCTCATCCTGTAAGTGAGTTATTCAGTGTGCTTTACATGTTGTACTACCTGGATACACAAACTATTTGCTCTGGTTTACAATCATAGAATTCTGAGCTTGTTCATGAACAGCATTCCTGGGTTGAAAACAAAGATGACAACAAGAAATGATATCGTGTCCCATCACTCACATTTGGAAAGCTTGTAACTAAAACACAACATTATGAAATATAAGCATAATGAATACAAATTTGTGCTAGACTAAGACTATACACAGTTATTATTATTATTATTTTTTATTGCGGGACATTTACCTGAAACTGCAATAGCATGAACTTAATATATCAAGACTCTATTAGAGCAGTTTATGAGTATCTCCTTTATAATTCTACAGTAGCAGTAACCATAAATGAGTATCAGTATAGTAACATAAAAAATGTTTTGGAGAATTCAAATAAAAAGGTTTAGGGGTAGTCTAAAGCAGGCCTTGAAACGATGTAGTAATATTCTTGTTAAGCATGCTATAATGACAATCCGGACGCAATTCTCTGTGGAGTGATTTTTGATCAAAGGTATCTTGTTCATGTCCTAATTAACTAATCAGTTCACCCATTTCAGAGGTATACTGCTGAGATGACTGTGATAATCACTGGGGTCATACACTTCTGCTGCTTTAAGTAGCATCACTGTTTGGCACTTGATACAAATACTGTTATTGTGCATATAGCACACAGATACATACACACAGATACATACTGGATATATTGAACATACTACTATGCATTGGATAATGTGATGTTATTTATCACTACAATTTGATGCATGATATGGTGTGCACAGTTAAATTCACTCACAATACAGTTAAAATTTCAATGACAACAATGTACTAGCCACGGAATACTCGCAGTTTATCCCCCCCACCCCTTATAGAGCTGGTTGGATTATGTAAAGAACAACCAGATATATTGATTGATGTTCTTATTTACAAAAAATAAGAAGTCACTGGTGTATGGAGACCACATGATATATATTGCTAGGCAATGCAATACATTTTGTGATGTTTTTGTATTGCAATACTCGAATTTCAATATATTGTCCCATCCCTTCACATGTTTGTATAGACAATTAAACTTCAAACTACTACATCTCTACATTGTGCTTAACAACAACATGCAAAGGCAAATTAGATCTATATTAATACCATCTCCTCAGTATAACTCTACAGACTGATATTAGAGACCCACCACCAGATGCTCTGTCTTCAAATGTTTACTAATTCTTCTGCAAGCTACTGACATGCAACCATAATTCAGTCACTGCTCATTCATACAACTGCAAAGAACATGCTAGATTTACAACTCTGTGTGTGTGTGTGCCTGTGTCTCAGAATAGGAAGGATGGGAGGGGCTGCTGTACAACTGGAGTGATCCCAAAAGACTGTGCAGAAGCATGCCTGAGATTCCAAAGGTGTCACCAGGGGGGTGCACCTTTCATGCGGTCTTATCTTCCCCAGGAAAAAGTGATACAAACACACACAAACATCAGTAAGTGTGGCTGGACATGTGCTTTAAGGGGCAAAAGGGCAGTGTGTGGGAAAACTCCTGGGGGGGGTTGCCTGGCTGATTCTAAAACTGTGGACAAAGCTGAAGAAGGCTTAGCCCCCAGCAGCCATAGTTAGGGAGGGTGTGGTGATGGAATGGAAGATACAGAGTTTAGAGACCACCCACTGCAGATTGTGGCTAAGCTAGTCTGATCTTTGGGTGTTTTAATGCTTTATTAAACAGTATGGGGCAGATAAACTGAAAATGGACAACATTTATGAAACTGCTGATTTCTATTCCACTCCATTTGAGCCCATTATTTTCTCCTCTCTCCGAGGCCTACAATAACACCTATGCAGCACCAGCATGATCTGGCATACATATGGGCACAAAAACATAATTTTGTCAGTTCGGTTTTAGTACTGTAGATTTAATATCTCATCACATAACAGTGCACTCACCAAATTATTTCCACAACATAATCCACACTTGATACTGTCTGCATTAAGCTCAGGTGACTATGGCTGTGGAATCTCAACAAAAAAGGACAAGCTGTAAATAAGAAAAAACTGTAGAATGGTGGTTGTTTTCTGCACAATACTAGTGTCACTGTCACACTTGAAACTGTTGTATTGTTGTATCCAGCTTTTTTCCCTGCATGCTTTGTAAGCAAAAACTGTCTTTACTCTATGTCATACAATCAAAAAGCCTCACTCAGATTTTATCACCATAACCTCATTACATCTTTATTATAATATGAACAAACAATAATACCAAACAGATAAACTAGAACTAATGATTCATTTATACCATTTCTCTTTATTGTACAGTATTAAGTCTTCAGTTAACAATCAAATGCAGCCTATAAACCACATCTTACAATCTCCAAATCAAGCAAGACCTACCTTAACATAGACATACAGTATTGTTTGTTTGCATAAGCAGAAGAGCAAGAAAATGACTTCTCTGCTATTTATTAAGCTGTTACTCATGTTACTCATGACTGAGGCACCTACCCAGATCCAGCAGCCAGAACTTGCAGTTGTCAGAGTACCTTCCCTGTGCTGAATCCATGGAGCAAAATGGATTTTGAGACACTAAGGACTCGATTCCACGGGCCATCTCAGCCAAATATCAAGCCACTGGATTTTTAACTTGAAAGATTCCCTCAGAGCATCTCCACAGGTACGACAACTGACTTCAAGTCCTTTTGCAAAACCTAAAATTGTTTATGAAATTACTGATAGTTAAAAGTAAAAATTATTCTGCTGCAACTACGTGGATGAAATTTTATATGAGAAGTCCAGTGTGAGGAAAAAGCAAAAGTCAAATGCAGCATTAGAGAGTAGGATGTTCTCTCTCTCTCTCTCTCTCTCTCTCTCTGTCTTTGTATCTCCTTCCCTCCCTCATGAGTGGGCTGCTGTGAGGATATTGGGCAAGTCTCCACTGTGCCTCTCCTGTTCCAAAGGGATGTCTGGAAACATGCAGCACATCTACCGTATAACCCTTTGTAGAGGCACCCACTCAGTTTGCGTGGGTGGGCACATATTTTGCAGTGATTAGGATGCATACAAGTTGTGCAGTATGCTTTGGATAAATATAGACTTGGTTATGAAATCCATCAGAAGTGAACAGCAAAATGCTCGAGGCATCATAGTCAGTGGATTGTTACAAATTTCTAACAGTTTCTGCAGAATTTCCAATGGGAGTTTTCAAGTTTTGTGACTAATAGTGTATAAAAACTATGTAATTCTGAACATCTTCACTTCATCTTAGAATGTGCCTATACAAACTGAGCAGTCTAGAGCAGCTATGCAGGGTAGATGCACAAAGATCTCCCTGTTTAACTGTGTGTGTGTGTGTATCTACCTGGGCTCCAAACACACTTCCTGTAAGAACATGCACACACACCACCCTGCACATATATCTGCTCCTTACAAATTCCTTTACTCAATAACACTGTCAGTAACTGTGTATCTTTGAATGTATTCAGTGCTGAGATGCACCGAGAGTCGACCTGCATGTTTTAACTGATTTGGTAAACAGAGGAATTCTAGTAATCACACTGAAAATGTCAACATGTGACTATGTATAAATATGAACAACACAGGATCTGAGTGTAAGAAAACGCACACACACTGAGCACACTATAGATGTCAACTACTGTTATTTAACACTAAAACATCCCATAATCAGAGCAGATGACCAAATGCCAGGTACACATTGTATAGTATGTGAAACATTTGCTTCTATTCCACCTGACCCCCTAAAATGAATTCTTCCTTTGTGTGAGACACAACAGGAAAAGGTAAGGTTTCCCAGACAACACTCTGATCCCTTAAAACATCCCCCTTCCACAATAGTGGACAAAGTGGCTACATGGTTGGTGGTAAGCACAAAAGGCTGACAAAGTAGCAAAGACATTTTTGTCATCCTTGTCTTCCTCCTCCTCAGCAATTGTTTTTCACCACAGTAATCCCTGCAGTGAGTAACCTGTCATCACTCCCTCTGGCCACACACACACAAATGCACATACAAACACTAAGGGCTAGTTATGCACAGCCAAGAAACCAAGGAAAGACAGATAAAAACAAGAACCTTTGAGATGAGCAAAGTGACGAAGGAGTTAAAAGGATAAAATTACATGGAATTGTCCCTCTTCTCCGTGTACTGTACTACTGTAGTAAATCATTCAGCTAAATTACAAAGTGTACAAGCCAAACATCCTATCATTTTAAAAATGACTTTTCTCAAAACGACTACAAAGAATCTGCCAGCAAAATACACGAGTTTCTATGCTATATTACCATAGAAACAAGCAGCTCTCACCCACTTTTCCAGGTTAAAAAGGGAAAAGCACAAGCAGAAACTTCTGTCAAGACATGATGACAACAGCTCATGACGCCAACCAGTCAGTGAGGTCAGCTCTGTGTACAGAGCCGCCTCCTCTCACTTCCTTTTGTTAGCTATGTTTATTCTTTGTTTTCTACTTTAGCACTGGGTGGATGATGATTTCAATGTGCTTTTGGTCTCAAGAAAAATACACAAATAAGTATTTATAATTGTAATTGCACTCTGGCTTCCTCCCACAGTCCAAAGACATGTGGCTTAGGTTGATTGATGACTCTACATTTCCGTAGGAGTGAGTGTGTGTGTGTGTGTGTGTATGTGTGTGGTTGTTGGTCTGTGTGTTGGCCCTGTGATGGACCAGTGACCTGTTCGGGGTTTACCCCGCCTTTCGCCTGATACCGGCTGGGATTGGCTCCAGCCCCCCCGCGGCCCCGTTCGGGACTAAGCGGTGTAGAAAATGAGATGAGAATTGTAATTGCAAATATAGAATACACAGTATCCGTTTATCTGTCCATATGTCTAGAGTGATCAACACAAAGGCCTTACACTGTCCAGGTGCTGATATTAGATGTGTAATAAAAAGGCTACAGCTCTGGCTGCCTAAGTTCAGTGCGACGTCAAACAGTGTAACAGCAGATGCCAGTTGAATCGACAAACTCCCTAAAATAGTTTGAACTAAAATTGAACATTATCACCTTCATGAATGAAGAATTTTGCAGGACTGTTGTATTAGACAGTATTAATTTTAGTACCAGTACGTATTAAACTGCCAATTAAATGAACATACAGTCTGTGTGCCAGGCTGCTAGTGAATACATAATACGTGTGTCTGTGTATTCAGAAATAAAATCACAGTTCTAACAATAACCTGTCGAGTTGTAATTCAACAACATTTCAGTTTTTCTTTACCTAGTGTGATGTTAACTCACATGCAGACTACGTAAAACACCCCATGGGAGCCACGTTATTGACTCCTCTTAATAAGACACTTTGGGCTCAAAACAGATTAAGATTCTGCCATCACATGACGGTACCCACCCTCACAAGGCCGTTTCATATTTCACGTCTGTTACAATGGAGAGGCATGCTGCTGCATGTTCAAGACAAAATAAGGGTTTCTGATGGTAATACAATCTGTAGATGCTAATAGCACTGGGAATTCAAAGGTTGAAATTATTTTAAGATCATTAAAAGTGAGCTTTGCTTTAAGTGGACTTTCCACAGTTGCATAGCAACATTTACCATAGAACTACATGTAAGTGCTTCTTCAAGCAGCTGTCTATTAAGAAGAGAAGATTCTACAGATCTTCAATGCTTGCAAATACAGTACACATCCTATTAGCTTTCCCTGATGTGTCAAGTTGTTTATATGTGCATGGATGTGACAAACAGCTGTTCGGTGAGATAAGAAGATTCCTACCTTTGTGGTTGAAGAGTCCTTCCATCTCCATGGAGGACCTGGAGTGAGCAATACAGAGTATAGAGCAGGGTACGATGCCCTCCTGGGCTGGAGAGCGGTCTGTGGTCCGCACCAGGCACCAGTCCGGCTTGTCGTGGAGTCGCTCCAGAACCTCCACAGTCTGGCCTCTGCGCACCGTCAGCTCCCCACTGCTGCTGCCATTACTGGCCACAAAGTCATGGATCACCACAGTTAACTCACAGCCACCGGAGAGCTGGGAGGGAAGGAGGAGAAAAGAGAAAAATCTGGTGATGTTGAGCTGTAAACAAATGTTGATATTTGTTCATTTTCTCTCTACTGTTTGCACCAAGCATAAATTTAGACCTCCACAGGCCATGCTGTGAGGATAAATGATATGCGCCATATCATAAAAAAGCAAATATACTATAAATAAATACAGCCTGGGTGTATTTTGTAGAAAAGACATCACAAAATCACAAATGTCCCAAAAACATTACTGGTGTGCATATGGATTTACAGACTAAGTGTACTAAGCATAAATAGTTGGACTCCAGTCCAAATATGCTCTGGCCCTCAGTCCAAGATAATCTGCAACAGTAGCCAGCAGCCTGTTTAGTCAGGATGATTCTGATCTCTTGCTGCACTAACAATATTTAGCATACATAGTATGGTGAATTAGGTGGCACAGTTGTGCAGTGGTTAGCGCTGTCACTTCACAGCAAGAAGGGTCTTGGTTTGAGCCCGGGCCGACCCGGGGTCTTTCTGTGTGGAGTTTGCATGTTCTCAATGTGCCTGTGTGGGTTCTTTCTGGGTACTACAGCTTCCTCCCAAAGACATGGAGCTTAGGTTGACTGGCGATATAGCAGTGTTTCTCTACATGTCAGCCCAGTGATAGACTGGCGACCTGTCCAGAGTGTACCCTGCCTCTCAATGTCAGCTGGGTTTGGCCCCAGCGTTGTAGATAAAGGAATGAGAATCCTCTTGGAAAAGACTGATAAACAAAGAGAATAACCTACACCCAATAGTATATGTGCAGATAGTGTACAGTCATATAAAGAACTGAAGGACAAAAAAAAAAAGCTATTCTTCATCAGGATCATGGACAACTGAGTGTCTCTCCCTGAACTCCACTATAGACACAAATTAAATTCCCTGTTATTTCTCCTACATTTAAATAATCTTATTTCAAAAAAATAAAAAGGTAAAGATACAGAACTATAAGTACTTCATAAGTTGACACCAACAAGCACGACCATTAGGTAAAAAATAATTATGACTTTACTAAATGAAATTAATGGGCTTCTGAACAAAAAGCAAATATTCTCAGAAAACATCCTTTGCTAATATCATACTGTAGGTTCTGACTCTGAAGCAGCACCATAAAGTAAAAGTGTACATGCACCGGTGACTGGTGAGTCATTCTAACACAGCTGAATAAAACGTCACTCTGACGATATGTCTCTGATCATCTGAGTGGCTATGAAAAGAAAAGCAATATGCTCACTGCTTTTTCAAAGGTATTTTTCAAATGCTGCTATTAATGCTTCTGTTCTGTGATCACAGGAAGTTATACAGTGACAGTACACCAGAGGCTGCATAGATTCTGTTATCGCACAAAAATGAAATACAGAGAGATCACATTTCTCATAATCTGGAGCAGAGTTAAATGAACTGGCTTGACTGAAAACAATAACTGCAAGTGAAAACCAGAAATTGTATATAGGGACAGAGCTTTTAAGATCAATGTCATGTTTTAGCCCTTAATTCTTCACTGATCATCAGCTCTTTGCAAGTTGAAATGTTATGATTTTAATATAAGTAAAGCAGATTCACAGGTAACACACAACTCTGAGCCAGGAAAATCAGATTCTATAAAACATCTTGACATTTACATTAAACACAGTCAAAAATCAGATGAACAAGGCCTACGGTGTATAAACAATTTAACATTATACCATTAGCCATATAGTTAATAATAACCAAATACCAAACAGTAATATTAATACTGTACATTTCATGCTTTCAGAAATTAACATTGCTGACATAACTTCCTTATTTATAGTATTTAAATGTGTGTGGTCTTACATGTTCTTTGTGTCATTAATAGACAAAAATCGATTGCACTGATAGTTTCAAAGGTGAATTATGCCTAAATGTCAGAATGGTGCTTTTATTTATTTATTTTTTTCAAATACAACAAAGCATAGTATTGACAACATACCCTTTGGTAGTGTGGTAAAGCCAAAGAGCTGAGGAGCTGAGAAACGGGACGAGAGCTCCTGATCTCAAGCTTCTCCATCGTTCTCCACTCCCTCATTATGAGGTAACAGAGCTTGAAAACTCTACAGCCCAGTCTGATCTCTGTGGCAATTCACTGAAGTTGTCCGAACTCAGAAGATGCTCACTCCAAACTCACTACAAGAAGATGCTCACTAGAAAAACCAAATTGTCTGGAAAATAGCAATTTTTTTTTTATAGAGTGCTCCCCCAGGGCAAACAGTTCCAGGTAATTAAAATCCTGATCCATTAGAAAATCCCAAGGAAAGTCGCTGCTGCCACAGTCAGCTGCATTCCTCTGTGGCTGCTTACAATCAGACTATTGAAGCTGAAATGATTCCCTGTTGGGCGTCTCTTCCCCTGTACGGAGTAGTTAGTCTATCCTTGTCTCTAGACAACTGTTTCCACGATTTACAGGTAGCTCACTATTTTGCATCAATCAACAACAACAACAAAATTCACCAAAAAAGATTTAAGGAAAAAACCACAGCTATTGCCTAAATCTTTCCACGTTTGAGGCAAAGTGCAAGATTGATAGCTGTGAGGACTTAAAACTGTGCTCTCCTGTCTGGCATACAGACGAGCATCCTCTGTGAAAAGAGTGTGGGAGGCTGAAGCTGCTGACACACAAGTCAGTCACTAAAGCATAGACACACACAAGAACATGGGAGCACACACCCGCACTAACACAAACACACCACTGTCACTGCCTCTTGAATGAGCAGCCTCACAGAGAGTCCTCACAGAGAGAGAGATAGAGAGGCATTCAGAAAGTGAGAGTGATGGACAAAATTTATAATTGCATGCGTTAATGTGTGCTTAGATGTTTTATACACGTGAGTATGTCTTAAACAAAGGGTGCAGTAGCAAATTAATTAGTGTCTGTGATAGTTCTGATGCAAGCAGACAAACACAGCTAATTCCCTTAATTTCCTAATTACAGTATAAGAGTACGAGCTTCAGCTGGGGGAAGTCCAAGTGAAGTGTGAAAATTAAGACCTCATGTAAGAGTCCAGCTACAGTTTATAATTAGTGTGACATAAAACTATGGCAACATTTTTATCTGTGTGTGCTGGTGCATGAGTTTGAGCTTTACCGTTGCTCATACTGAGCGTAGGAGGACAGGCCTTCTGTGGTGCTATTACCAGATATAACCACGGCTGACTGTCCCTGAGCCCAGTGAATAAGATTTTCTCTCTCTTACACACATAAACAAACACACACACGGTCACACAAGCACATGATGCTTCAAACCTTCGTTTGATGGACTGTCAAAGTCTTTCATAGGGAACAACTTGCATAGCAGTGCTTTACCCAGGCTCCAGCTTCTGACAATCATGTCACTGTGTGACAGCGTGACATGGACAAAGGAGAGCTGTTCAGACTGGATGAACTGACGAGATGTGTGGGGCATGAACAATTAAAGCAATACCACTATGATGCTGCCTAGTTGAGGCAGAATAGGTGGGGAGATTGCACGCGTGTGTGTGTTCCTACCTTATCACTGTCCAGTGTGTTCTGGGAAGTCCGTGAGGCGATGGAGATAGTATCCGGTTGGCTGCTGGCATCTCCCTGGCTGTCCAGCTCCTCTCCATCCCTGCAGGCACACACAGTCATTATAGTCATCCTCTTATTATTATTATTATTATTATAGTATCAATGATCATTACATTTTTAATAGACATATTACCGGGAATATTAGTTAGTTTTTTACAGTTTCTTTTTTTGCCGCATATAGAAAATATAATCAATATTCAAAACTCCTTAACAAAAAGTAAAATTGAGAGTAATGCACCGTTAGCTTACCGTCTGCCTTTATGTTTAGTTGTGGTGGCTTTAGGGATGTGGATGGGTTCTTTCAGAGCTCCACGCAAATGAACAATTCGCTCCTGGATGACCTCTCGAATGTGTTTGATCCAGTCCTGCTTGTTCTCGATGCTTGCAGCCTGGGACAAAAGACATGACTGGGTCAGACAAATGTTAACATTAAACATTTCAGGGTTGTACAGTTGTTCAGTCTGGTCTTTTTTCTCCCTTTTCACATACAGACAAAGAATATTAAATCAACAAAAGGAGATGTTAACAGCAAAGAAAAATAAAAGCACTTAAGCTAGTCACTCGACATGAATGAATGACTTGCTGACCCACAACGCAGCATCAGGTTTCACTTAACAACACTACTCAAATGAATGCTTTGATCTCTGCAATTTTGTACTGGAGTCACATGTTCATATTTAAACACAATGCAAAATGGAGACAACGGTGTCTCCTGATCCTCACTTAGGGTTTCACAGGCAGACTGGACATTTATTGTCAGACTGTGTTTGTTTACGTCACTGAGACAATGCGTAGACACTGCATTTAGCATACGACTCCCCCTCTCTGTGTCTTCTCTTTCCCCTCCTTCACTTAGCAACAAGCAGCACCAAGGCTGCTGTGGCACCATGTTACATAAGACATAGGATGATCATCAGAAGTTATGCAATAAGACAGTTGTACTGTACAGCACACATTCACACACTGTAACACATTGCAGATTGGGAACCACAAGCTTCTGTCATTCTCTCAGTCAAAAAAAACAAAAAACAAACACCTATCTAAACACACACCCTGAATAAAACATTACTTCTGACTCACTGCGTGAGAACTACTAAGTTGTGAGTTTGGATTGTGACCCATCGATCGCAATGCTAATGTTTCTGAGTGATGAGTGAATAAGTAGCAGAAAGTAGCACTCCACCCCCCTCCACAGAGTCAACTTTCTTGACTGAACAGAAGGAACTATGGAGGATTTAGTGGGGGTGGACTACAGACATGGAGCGACTCTTCCTCTTTATGTGTGAGCAATTTGACCAGCACAAGGGAAATACAGTGCCGAAAGCAGCACTGAAGCATATTGAGAAGCAAACATGTTTTGGTTCTGAGTTCTCACATGATCATGTACAACTGCTTTTTGCAAGAAGAAGACAAAGTTGTTAATGCAAAATATTAGCACACTGACCAAATGTTACCCTTTAATCTTGAGCAGTAACATGAAAACCTTGATACCTTGAGGACAATCTTGTTGTCTGAGGATGGCGTCCTGCCCACCCACAGGGCAAACTTACAAGGATCTCCCTCCACGTGTTCTGTCACTCCAAGCTCTGATGTCTGAGGAGGTGAAAAATGTTTCAGTAAATTTGATACATATGCAAAATAAGATGCAATAACAGTTTGTAACTCATATTAAAAATAATGTGTCACAAAGGTCTTCCAGCTGACTCAACTCCCAAGAACCAAGGAAGCAAACTGTGTCTTAAGATCATCAGAATAGTTTAACCCAGGAAAACCAGATACAACCCAAAAAAGAGCCCAACAGCATATGCAATGTGCTACAACTTTAGTCAGGCTATAATATGGCCTCACAATGCTATGATTGTGACTGACATTTAAAAGTACAGAACTCAACTGGACCAGCCCCAGTAAGTGTCATTGTACACCTAATTAAATTCTCATCTGTCTTAACTGCTACAAAATCAACCTAAACTCTCAAAATGAAGTTACTACTTACAAACAGCTTGCTCTTGTAAAGGTATTTGCTGCGCCCGTTGGAGTCTTTGACTTCTTTGCTGAAGACCAGGGACATTTCAAAGAGGAAGAGGTGTCGGTCACGACCCTTACGTATAAGTGTCTTGGGATCCCACACCTGGAAGGACTCCTGGAGTATCAACTCTCCCTGGGAGTCAATGTTCCCATCAAAACCTGGAGTAATGAAGTGAAACGAGGAGGAACAGAGCATTTTAGCCATGTCTGAATTTGCGTACTCTATGTACAGACATGTTTGTGGGTGGCAAATGAAGTTATGGCTGACTCACAGTTGTGTGACTTGCACTGAATGACTACTAACAGTGACCTGACCTGATTCCATTCACAAATACAAAGTGGAAGTTCAGTCAATAGCAACATTAGACAAGGACACATTCAGCGAGCAGGTGCACATTGTGCATCAAAAGACAAGTAAGAGAGAATGAATAGCAGAGGTGCGCGTATGTTTCAGTGTGTGTTTACATCTACCTTCCAGCATTGAGAGGTGCATGGCATCGTTGGCTTTCTTGGGGACACTGAGCATCACTTCAAGACCATCCTTGATCTCTCCTTTTCCTTCCTCACAGCATGTCAACAACTCCTACAACAGAAGCATACACCCACATATACACACTATGATATTTAAATAAAAGGGTCTATGACATGTTCTTAGTAACAGTAATAGGGATTTGCACACTAGTTTAATGTGTTTTCTTTGTGATGAGTGAATGTGTATCTGTTTTCTTTTCCTGGAAAAATGTACTCATGCTAGACCAGAAATGTAAACACCTACTGTACCTTGAGAAGCAGCTGGTACTTTGTGATTCTCTGGACTGGTTTGATCAGGTAAGAAGAAATGGAGTTGGCAAGACGATGCCTTTGCTGGATTTCCTGTAAAACCGAATGAAAGACACAGATATTAAATAAACTAAGGCCTTTGCTAATCAAAATCATAGACTTTACAGGCACACTAAAATATATTATATTGTATAAAATCTCACAGAAAAAAAAAATCTACTGCCACTTTATACAGTGATGATGGTACATCAGGTGAAAATCTTTTTTTCCCTGGAGCTGTATTTAGGCAAAATGTGAGATATCATTAATGTAAAACTAAAATCTTATTACACATCACGCAGCATTAGTGATTACTTACATCAAAGTAGGGTCCAGCATGCTCCAGGATGAGCTGAGTGGAGTCTGGCTTGTTCTTACAATAGTTCACATACATCTGGAACTTATCGGCCTGAACAGGAGAACAACATCAGTACTTTACTCACAAGATCTTATGCATCTTTAGGTAAGATGTGTAATAGCATACCGGCTATGTTTTGGTATTTAAAGTTAATATAGGCATAGTTATACAGAGAAGCAGTGCTGATGAAAAAAGGAAAATGTTGGCATACATTTGCAAAGGCTGAGGAATAAAGGTATAATCACAGGTCAGGAAGTCAGAACTTGTACAATATATTGTCTTACCCAGGTCACAAAACAATGGCCAACATCCTCTGGAAGCTGCTCATACTTCTCCAGCTCCTTCAGGAAAATACTGTACAGAGACAGAACGATTTAAAGGATGGACAATGAGAAGCTTATTGCCTTCTTCTGAAAAATGATTTCCACTTGAACTATATATTCTTAAACTAAAATGTATGGCAAAGAATACAGAATGTCAGATCACTGCTCTACTAACTTGTGGTGAAATTCGTAGAGGTCCTGCATGTTTCCAAATATGATGTGTTCCTTGTTTACAATACCAGGAGGAATCTCCTCCACGCCACTGGTCATCTCCCACAGGTATGTCTGCACACACACCAGAGCAGAACTCATTAAATACACACAAATCTCTGTGCCACCATTATAATGGATTTATTAAATGAGCTCCCCATAGAAGTATCTAATGAAAAGATAAGAACAGACAAAAGTGCAACATAACCAAATTCAAAGGAAAATGTTGATACAGTTTTAGGACAAAAGATAAAAACAAAAATCACAGCAGGGATAATGAAAATGAGTAAATCTGACGAAACACCTGTGTGAATAATTGTCTTTGTGTGTGCTTGCTAGAATGCTTACATCCAAACACTCCTGTAGGTCTCTGACGTAGGCTTTCTCTGTTTGAATCAGCTCTGCCATTATAAATCTGAAAAGACGTGCACATTGTGAGAGGAGGAAGAAAGTGGTCAGGTGCTTTAGCTGACCAAATATAAATAAAAAATGTAGTTCTTTTATTTTCTTCTGAGGCTTCATTTTGTTACCCAAAGACTAGTATCTAAAAATGTTAAAGACTGTAAAAGATAAACCTTTTAGCTACATTCTTTGTAAGTGATATAAATGCAAACCATACAGTTTGATGTCAATTTTGCAGCTTTTGCAGTAAATGATAAAAAAAACTATTCAAAAGTCATCATCTTAAAATTTGAGGATTTCAGTCTTCACTACGATGTGCTGATGTATGCTGCATAAATTAATATTAAACTCCACATTATTACTAACAATCTGAACTAAAAGCCTGGCTGTGTTATAAGATGCTGAGCATCCGGTGGCTGTTGGGAGA